CATCATAAATTTTGGATGTAACTTACATGTAACTTACATGTAAGGTAAGTATGTAAGTTACAACCCTTACAACCCTAATAACAACACAACTTAACTATCATAAGTTAATTAAAGAATTAACTCCTGGCAAGAAACAGAAGCCTCAGTATTAACTGATGACCAATTAATAGAGCAGATATTTATAATGGTCTGTTTGTAGTAAAACAACCACCCAATAGAGTTAATAATAAAAAAACTCACAAACAATTCAGAGAAGGATTAATTTCTATTGATTATGTAATTGCTCTCTATTCTTTATCTACTCAACAATCTATAAACAATAAAAAACATATTTTATTCTCTCAAAAAGGTCTATTTACCAAAGATTTAAGATATATAGCAAATATTGCTTTATATAAGTAAGTCACAAGAAATATGACATCAAAGTATGAAAAATTAGAGAAATTAATCATCAATAAATCAATATTAGAAATCCTAGATAAAATACATTTGTAATCAAGTACTTTTCAAATGGATTCCATGTTTGCACAAAGTATGAAAGTAATTAATTAATAATAATCTTAAATTATAGGTTATTTCAATAATTTATTAGATGTATTGGTTATTTCTGGTAATCTAATATACACGTTCTCAAAACAGTGATGGTCTATATTTGTTGAATTAGTTTTCCAAATAATTGATGTTATTTTTGGTAAGTCTTTTCACACTCATATAAAATCCATATAAGCAGCAACTAATTTGGTTAATATAATGAAATTGTCAAAGACACTAAAACAAAAGGATTTTGAGTCATTAATGATGCCCTGGCAATGCAATGTTGCATTCAAAAAACTAGTTTTAACTTCTTATGAAAGAGATCTTATGCCTGAAGCCTATCGTTTAGATCCTGTTAAAGATGATTTCTTTGATAAAGAGTTAAGAAGTGGGTCCAGGATACGTAAATCTGACCAGGAAGTGATGTGTTCTGGAGCGCATACTTAAACAAAAATTTAACTTGTGAATCAATTGCACGTTATAGTCCAACCTACAATCCTTATAATATTGGGAAGCAGAACAAAATGGCTGAAGCATTATTGGAGAAATATTCTGAGATACATCAAATTGAGAATTGGTAGTTCCTGAATCTATCAAATATTACCTCCAAAAAAATGTATAATGCATTTACCAAAGTACAAGTAGTACTGTAGATGCGGAAATTCCTTGATGGTAAAACTTAAAACTGTAGTAGCTCAAGATTTATTTGGCTGTTGGCTTGGTCATATTATTCAATTAGAGCACATGAAATTAATTACATGGTACTACTTTCATTTGAACTGGTATGATTCTTAATCAAAATATGTTCCATATTTTTAATAAATTGGGCACTTTTAAAAAACAAGGAGCTCACATTCTTGAGGTAGATACAACCCAATATGAATCAATCACCTGGCCGAAGCCCCATGAAGCTCTCGCTAATTTACATTATTTAGGATTTAAGAATAAGGGATTGATTTTGCATCAAAAATTGGGTCTTTTATTAGAGGTAAAATATTTTAAGATGCGAAATTCATGGATTATTTGATTAATGAATACTATATAGAATGGATAACTATAATTGTACCATCAAAAGAAACAATTAGCAAATTAATTTCTAGATACCTTTAATATTTTTGCCATTATAAACCCAAATTATTTGGGTTTAGGTAAAATTAATTTGCTCACAGAATCTCAATACGAAGAGAATTTAGAACTGTGGCACTCTAAAATGATTAAGCATGACATTCATGTTCATGTTCCTAATGGAAAGTTTAATAAATCAAATGATTACAAAATTTCCGTGTATAATAGTAATCAATCTTTTGATTAAACAAAATATAATATAATACTAACAGTCAAAAAGCAGTAAAAACATATGACATAATTAAACCAAAATTATCTGTTAATGTTCAAAACAATGATATTTATGATAAAATCATTATAATAACACCACAAGAAAACATTAACAAACCAGTTACGTAGCATGAAATGTTTTAACGTCTTATGAAGAATTAATCATTTTCATATTAACAACCTACGTACTACATAGACAAACCTTATAGAAAAATTTTTTTCTTAATCGAGAATTTTTTGGTCGTGTTTGGTTACGATTTGTCAAAATTACAGTGGTGTGGAACATTGCATGAAACAGTTACACAAGCTGATCAAATATTATAAAAGTGAGACGTACGTATGGGATAATTTTTTCCTTTGTATTTATAGTCGACTTTGAAATTTCAGTTTTAAATACGTATTCTATTAGCATAAGTGATCTAATTAATACGAGTGATAGTGACCTAATCGACGGACAAACGATCTGGTTAACACAACGAATTATACTTCTCATGACATCAAAAATATTTATGGGCGACATGCCCGAAATATTGGAAATTATTCTAAATAATTTAAACGAAGATATTAGATCTTTATATTCATGTGTGCTTGTAAGCCACTTTTGGAGCAAGATATCTGTCCCTATTCTTTGGAAAGATCCATTTACTTTAAGTCAAAATTTATCGTTTATATCTAGATACTTTTCATCACTCAATGAACATGATATTTTTATATTAAACAAATGTGGAATAGTTATAGATTTTCCTAATACTCTATTTCATTACGCAAGATTTTTAAAGTTCTTGGATTTATCTAATCTAAGTTATCAAGTTGAAAATTGGATTAATGGGTTGAATATTAATTTGAAAAATGATATCATGATAGTAAAATGTGATGTGGCTAATTTGTTATTTAAATTATTTATCGAGAGAGGTGCCTCTTTGTCTAAATTTTATTTAACTATGTTCGATTATGATACTATTACTGATATACATGATGAAGCCTTTGATATTAAGCCAGAGATATTTTATTTATTAGGTCAAAACAAATGTTTTTTTTCTCAGGTCAAAAAGCTATATGTCTCTATAAAAATTGATCCATGCCCCCAAAGCGCTATTGCATTATTAAGAATTTTGAATGACAAAGTAAAAAAAATTAATTCATTAAAACTCGGGAGGACTGATTATGATAAAGAGCTAATTCACACACTCGCCTACATAATTAATTCTCAAGAACAGCTTAGGCGTCTCAAATTAAACAGCAGTTCTGGATACGTCATTTCAGCCTTGAAAAGTCAGCAAAATTCATTAAGAGAACTAATAATGGATGGTTGCTTTTTTTCTAGTGCAAACTTTAACAAGATAACCAATTTCAAAAATTTGGAAGTTATTCGTATATATGATAGTTCAGATATAGATATATTATTGAATACATTAGACAACAATCATCATAAGATTAACACTTTAGATTTGTGTACTTATTCGATTAATGTATCTAATATTTTACAGTTAGTGCAAAGGTCTGGTCCATTATTACAACGATTAAGACTTGTCTCGGAGCAAGAGGAAATTTATTCATTACCGTTATTATTAGAAAAACTTATATCCTTCTGTCCGAACATCACTTTTCTTAGCTTTTCTACGATTAAGCTTTCTGCTCAATTCTTAAATCTTATTAGCAGTTTACAAAATCTTCAATTTCTCACCTTACAGTGGGTTGATAATGAATCAGAAGAAGAAATGAAAACATTCATTATAAAGCTTGCTAACATATTGCCATTATCATTACATTATCTTAATTTGTTTAATTCATCATACAATGAAGATTTTCTCGACCATTGTAATGCTCCTTTAAAAAAGCTATTATTAGAAATCAAATACGGAGACAAAAAATTAACAAATGCATTAATTAGATTTTGTATAAGAAAGAAGACTTTGGATCAGGTGTATATACACAATTTGTCCGAATTTGATCCTACATGGGATAAGTTTAAAAAGGATTTAGATGATTATGTTAAATTGGTATCAAGTGACCATATTTATGTTGGTTGTTAACTGATATTATTCAAGAGATATGTTTATTACGCATTATTTTCAAATTCTGATTAATAGCAATTGATAGTATCAATAACTAACTCTTTGATAATAAAAAAAAATCAATACGTAAATCAAAATATTTTTTAAAATTTGTTAAACACGTAATACTTATATTGCTTTTTTTAAATTTATTTTTGTAAGGAATAATTCTTTTAAACAATTTCTTATATTGCTTTTGCTTTGCAAATAAAAATCGTTAGTATTGTATATCTAAAATTTAAAGACATACAATGTTGTAGGTGGATTTGGAATTTTGTGGATTCGGAATCCAATTAAGTGGATTTAGGAAAAAACTTAAGTCGATTTCAGACCTTAAAAGGATCGGATCCTTTATGGTAAAAAGTCAAATATTAGTAATCATCAATCATAACGTACTTAAAATAATCATATGTATTCGTAAAGTTTCCAAGTTAAAATTTTAACAAGAATATTCTTTTATTTAAAACAAGGATTTTTTTTATAGATTTTTAGCTAATAAATTTCTTGAAAAGATCACTTGTTAGATGCCGTAAAACCTTTATTTCACAATCTTGATCTAATTATAATCTTATTTGCGTGGTTATACTGATACTATAAAGATCTATAATTCCTTTTAATTGCGCAGTCTGTTTCTACCATAATTACACAAAATGTAATTGTAAAGATGAATGCAAAATTAATTCTTGCAGATGTAGACGCTCTTATTTGGTGTGTGAAGGCAAATATCATTCGTATAGTATTAAATGCGAAGGTAGAGATTATACGTATTATAGAAAAAATAAATATATATCCGATAATACAATGTTTCTGGCTATAAATTTACATATTTCTTTAAATCTATTTTCACTCAAGTTGCTTTGAGATTCAGGATCCACTAAAGTTGATTCGGAATCCCTACAACATATATAAGGATCATACTAAAAGAGATAATATAATAGAAGTAATTACTATACTAAAGAGGTACTATTTAATTAATTATATTGTAAACTATGTATTATACGTATTTAGATCCTTTATTTAAAATTGCTAAATTTTTTTTTAAATTTGTTTATTTTTAGTCTTATAAAATTTATTTTAAATATATATTTAAATATTTAAATTTAAAAAAAAACAAAATATAAGAAATTATGGCAATTTTATAATAAATTTGCTTAAAATTTCCTATAGTTTAAAGTATAATATAAATTAAATACTATTGCTATATATATATTTTATTCCAAATAAAAATTTTATTTAAATCTTAAGGTAAAAGGGGGTAGAAGCGTATTTTGTAAAAGTTAATTAATATAAAATCGTCCTTATCTCATCAAAATTTCAGAATATGTGTAATTTAATGTCGTGAAAAATTTACATAGAGCCTAAATATCGATTTACTTAGTATTGTAAGACATACTAAAGCTGTGCTTCGTCAGAATTCCTTTTAAAGAGTGTTTTTATTGAGCATTTATTTGACAATATCTCGTGATCTAGTGATCGAAATTGAATAATCTTTGTACTATTCGATTCGCCTCGATGATACGAATTGAATGGTAGAAAAATCATTCAATTCTGATTGCTGCATCACGAGATATTTCAAATTCGTCAAAATACCCTTTTTACCTTATAATTTAAAAAAATAATTTATAAATTACATAAATTTTATAATAATTTTTCACTAATTTTGAAATTTGTTATATCTTAAAAACTTGCTAAATATTAATACGTATTTAATGTTTTAAGTAAATTTTCAATACTTCAAAAAATTTTACGCTTTTTTTAGGGAACAGGTATTTCCACGCCATTGTAAATTATAAATTATTGTTATGAAATTACGTATAAAGATATTCCGGCTTAAAAATTGAGTAATGTAATATGCCATTTAATTTTTGCTGCAACTATCGCTATAATACACTTTATGTATTTGCTCGTGATCAAGGTGATGAAATATCAAAATCGGATGTGAAAATACCTGTTTCCTTTTTTTAATTTGACCTTTTAACTTAAATACTGTGATTTAGTGCTACTATTTAATACTGTAATCACGAGTTGGTGTAACGTAACGCGATCAAAACAAACGTGTGTTTACCTTTAAAAATTTACATATAAATAGTATTAAAAAAAAAAAAGGCAAATTTCTTCGAGTAAACTTTAAGAAATTTATTCATCTCTCTTACACGTTAGGTTCTTCTAAATTCCAACTTTCAAAATGTCGC